GCTGCATGCCGGGACTGGGGCAGGAAGGGAAACCGAGTCTCAGCAATGGGGTCACAAACAAGTGGAGCCAGGCCCCATCCCCAGAGCAGCCTCTTCCCACAGTCCTTCCTGTTGGATTTGTGGGTTTCTGGTGCCTCCCCACCTCTTGCCTCATGGGCTGGTGTCCATCAGAGGGGGTGACCACTGCCTTCTGTGTCCTGCAGCCATGGAGGTGCCCCCAGAACGCTGGGGTTTGCAGTGCAGTTTGCTCTGCCCTGTGTGACATCCAGGCCCTGCCAACTCTTACTCTGCTTCTTGGAGCAGAGGCCCCTCCTCACACTGTCCCACCAGATGCTCAGCAGGCTGCAGGTGCCCTGCCAGCAAGTCCTTGCCCAGGACCAGGCATCTCAGTTCCTTGAGGGCTGTCCTGCCCCAGCCTCTGGCCCTCTCTTTCCCCTGCCGTAAGGAAGCTGCCCTCGGCCGGGCAGCAGGTGGGAAAACAGCTGAGCCAGATGCCCCTCAGGTGCCTTTGATGTTTTGGCCGGACCTAAGGTCTGGGCAAGGGACAGATGTAAACAGGAAGCCAACAGTGAAGAGACCTGCCTAGGGTATCTGGCCACCTTCCCCTGCTGGCTGCACACCCACACCCAGGGGTTCTCACACCTGGCTGCACGTTAGAATCCCCCTCAAGCTGGTGAGAAGTATAAATTCCCAGGCCACATCCCCAGAGACTCTGGTTTAGTCAGCGTGGGGGTGGAGCCCAGGAATCTATTTTGAGTAGTCTTGTTAGGTGGGCATGGGGGCCACTTTCTGGAACTGACTTATGCCAGACAACAGGCAGAAACTAGACCTCAGTCCATTCGGGCGATCATCTTGTGGTTGCTGAACTGGGAGCCTGGTATTCGCCTCACCCCAGCTGGGAATTGTCAAAGCTGCTTGAAGTGTCCTGTGGTGGGGACCCCCGCCCTCTGGGGTCTCCCTCAGGCCTGACCTCTGCCTCATCTGTGGGTGTGCAGTGCCGAGAGGAGGTGCTGGGCTGGGAGTTGCACCTGCCCTCTCGATTGTGCATCAAACACTGCATTTTCTAGAAGAGAAACCGAGGTTCAGAGAGGTGAAAGGCTCATGCCAGCTCACTCAGTTGGCAACGCAGAGCTGGGGACCTCAGCAGGTGGCCAGGCCCTGCTGTGTGCACTGTGCTGCCTCCCTCAGGGCTTTGCCTGAAGAAGGCACTGAATAAGCCTGCTTTAAAAATAAACTTTAAATGCATAAATGGAAACATCCGCAGAAGCACTTTCACCGAGAGATTAAGGAACAATCAGAGCCTGGAGCCACCTGCCCCAGCAAGGGCCCTCAGTCTCAGGACATGGCCTCCTACTCCGACCCCCTCCCCCACCCCTCCAACGGGATCCCTGCCCAAGACCCTCGGCCTCAGTCCCTTGAGGGCAGTGGGGTTCACTGAGAATGTCAGCCCAGATTCCTGGGGATTGAGAGTGAATTGTTATGTGCCTTCTGTCTCTTTCTAAAGAAGGTTCATTCGCAGCAGAAATCTGTAACAGCCTGAAGGAAGGCCGGGCCCACGCTGGGAGCCTGACAGCAGAGCAGGCAAGCTCATCCGCCTCTGTCCCCTGTTCTCATTCCTGTGTCCTTCCTTCTCACTGCTCGCAGTCTCCTTCCCCACACAGCGGCCCCCCTGTTCAGCAAGACATGGAGGCGGGACTCAGGCCACACTGCAAAGGGCACAGCACACAGCGGCCGGGGGGCTCCCTGCGGGCTCAGCCCATGGCTTCGAGCGCCTCTTCTAAACTGGAGGCCACGTGGTGTGTGGCAGGCAGTTTCAAACTTTCTGTAGCAGTGAAGTCCTTCTTCAAGTGAAAGAAACCCAAGATAATGCAAAATAGATCAAAGGGAACCAGCTCTATTTGAAGGGAGGTGGGGAAGGCCGCTGTGAGTCTGGTCTGGGAGACTGGCTGTTGCAGGATGGTCCCAGGAATAGTACAGCTGTGTCCTGGGAAGGGCTCGGACAGAAGGCTCCTGACCTGTGAGCCCTGCCTGGGAGCGGGGAGGCCTGGGGCTGGAAAAGCATTCTGAGCAGAGGAAACAGGCTGTGCAGGGCCCGTGGGAGAGGGAGCAGAGCCACCCGACAGCAATGAGTGTCTGGGCCTTGCTGTCCAAGTCGCCAAGTTTTGTCCTCCTTGAAGCCATTGGAGTGTTTTAAGAAGCTAGGGCAGGCAGAAGCCACACATATGATTCCATCTGTAGGGAGGTTAGCAGATGGGGAGGGGTGGGGTGGGGCGTGGCAGTGAAACAGGGGCAGGCTGGGAGGTCAGTGCCATTCCCTGGGGGAGGAGGGATGGCTGCTTGGACTAGGGCGTGCCAGTAGGGACGGACAGACAGACGGGACGTGGTCAGACATGGGGAATACAGAGCAGGCAAAGCTGCTGGGATGGGTGATGGATTGGATATGGGGCAGGGGCAAGGGCGGGGTCTTTGCAGTTCTTGGTCCTCAGCTGTAGCATCCTACTCGTTATGTGGATACAGTTTCTCAAGTCTCTCTCTTTTACACTTGCTTCCTCTAAGATTTCTCTTGTTACTTAAAGTATCTGTTTTCTCTGATTCTTCCCTTGGCCATTCGGCCTCTGGGTTTCATGCTGTTCATTCTTCTCTCTGGCCTGTTTATGCCTCCTGGACTTGGGGCTGTCTGTCCATTTTCAGGAGGGGGTCTAGGGGCCGGCTGAGCGCTCCTTCTGCTGTGTCGGGGTTGGACTGTATTGCGCAGTGTCTGGTCCCTGCGTGGAATTCCCAGGCAGAAACGGTGTGGTGAGGCGGGGCATGTCAGCACTTTGCTGTAAGGCGAGTTTGGGGCAGGGGGCTGGCTGTCAGCCACCCCCTCAGTGCCAGGGCTTGGAGAGCTTCCCACTGGGCTCCACACTGGAAGCCTGCTTAGAAGACGACTCTCCATACGGGGTCTGCCCTGCCTCCCAGCTGGGTAATGACCCGGCGGTGTCCTGTGGTGGGGGGCGGGGTGAGCCCTCCTGGGCAGCCCTCCACGTGCTATTTTGTCTACATGCCCACTGTGCCCCTGAAAGGTGGGGTTTCCTGCTGGGGCTTTTCTGTGACTTTGTCCATTCAGCTGCTCCCCATCTGCCTTCTGTTTTCCAGAAGTGTGAGTCACTCTTGTCCACCACGACCCACCCTCTTCCACAACTTTTCCTCAGTGCTCTTTTATTTCATGGAGGTTGGGAAGGGTGGAAAGCAAATGCCTGTGCTCAGTTCACCATCTTGAACTAGAAGTCAGAAGAATTTCTTCCTATAGAAAGTGCTCTTACAAATCTATAGATTCTGTTTTTTCCTCAGGCCTAAAGCCGTGGTGGCATCCTTGATCTCCCTCTCTCAAAACCCACATCTGATCAGTGAGCGAATCCTGTCCTCAGTAAAGTCCAGAGTCTGCCACCTCTCGCACCCTGCACTGCTGCCTCCCAGTCCAGCCACCCACCCGAGCACGTGGATTTTTATAGGAGCCTCTAACTGGTCTCCTGCTTTGACCTTGCCCCCTTGTCTCCCTAAATCAATCAGAGTGGCTTAAATTAGATTGTGTCATTCTCCACTCAAACCATCCAGTGGGAAGTAGAAAGTGTGTGGTGGATGAACGAGGCAGGGAACACCGCAGACAGAGAGATGCCAAGGGTCTGAAGAGGAGCCCTGTCCTGGGGCGTCCACCTGGAACCTGTGATGGAACCTTACTTAGAAACAGGGTCTTTGCAGATGGAATCAAGCTAAAATGAGGCCATACTGGATTGGGTGGGCCTTACAGCCAATGACTGCTGTCCTTGTAAGGAGAGAGAGACACGCACAGAGGGAAGAAGGCCATGTGACGATGAAGGCAGAGACTGAAGCCATATATCCACAAGCCAAGGAATGCCTGGCGTTCCCGGCAACCTCTGGAAGCTCAGAAGAGGCGGGGAAGGATTCTCCCTAGAACCTGAGAGGGAACGTGGCCCTGCTGACACCTTCATTTCAGGCTTCCAGCTCCCCAAGCTGTGAGAGAATATGTTTCTGTGTTTTAGGCCACCCAGTTCATGGTAGTTTGTACGATGACCCTCAGAAACGAATACAAGCCCTTATCACAGCCCGTTCTCACCCCTTCCCACCCTCGTGCCACCCTAGCAACACTGTGGTGGAACAGGCCGGTTCCTTGAACAGGCCACGTGTGCTTTGGCCCCACGGCCTTTGCACTTGATGTTCCCTCACATCCACACAGGTTGCTTCATTCAGGTCGTGCTGAGAAGTCACCTCATCGGAAGGGCCTTCCCTGAGGGCCCCAGGTGTATGCCTAGGCCTTTCTCCCCCATGCGCTCCTGGTCCTCGGCTGCTCTGCTCTCCCGCGGTACTTCCTGCCAGCTGGTGTGTACTCGCTGGTTTAGCGTCTGTCTTCCCTCTTGTGTAAGCCTCACGAGGGACAGGGCTTTGTTGATTGTGTTTATGACTGTGTTGCCAGTGCCTAGAACAGTGCAAGGCACATGCTCAGTATGGAATCACTGAACGAATGAATAAGAAAAAAATCCACAAACCACTTGAATAAAAGGGAAAACTCCAAAACAGACAACTGAAGAAAAAAGGACCTTTTTACCTCAGTCTCACTCACAATTAAAGAAACACAAATTAAGTCTGCACTGAGATCGTTCTCACCCATTAGATTGTAGTGAGTGTCAGGGGAATGAGTGCTGTCCTGGGACTGTAACTTGGGCCATATCTTTTCTTCTTTTTTATTTTTATTAAACTTTTTTTTTTTTTTTTTTTTTTTTTGCTGAGGAAGATTAGCCCTGAGCTAATACCTGTGCCAATCTTCCTCTACTTTATATATAGGATGCTGCCATAGCATGGCTGATGAGTGGTGTAGGTCCGCGCTGGAGGTGCAAACCCATGAACCTCGGCTGCCAAAGTGGAGCATGCCAAACTTAACCACTACACCACAGGGCTGGCCCCTCTTTTCTTCTTTTTTAAATTGAAATATATAATTCATATAACAAAATTGACACTTTTAAAGTAAATAATTCAGTGGTTTTTAGTATATTCACAGGGTTGTAGAACCATCACTGCTACTTCTGGTACATTTTCATTACCTCAAAAAGGAACCCCCATAGCCGTTAGCAGCCACTTCCCCTTCCCCACCTGCCAGCCCTTGGCAACAACTATCTAGTTTACGACTCTATGGATTTGTCTGTTCTGGACATTTCATGTAAATGGAATCATACAATATGTAACCTTTAGTGTCTAGTGTCTCTCTTAGCATGGTGTTCTCATGATGTTGTAGCGTGTACTTCATTCATCTTTGTTGCCAGGCAATATTCCATTGTATGGATATACACATTTTGTTTGTCTATTCATCAGTTGGTGGACATTGGGTTGTTTCCACCCTGTGGCTAATAAGAATAATGCTGCTGGGAACGTTTGTCTACAAGTATGTGGGCAGAAGCTTTCAAATATTTTGGCTGTATACATAGGACTGTAATTGCTGGTCACTCTATGTTTAAAATCTTAAGGAACTGCCAGACTGTTTTCCAACCAAAGTGACTGCACAATTTTGCATTGTCACCAACATTGTACAACTCCTCAACAGCTTCATTAACACTTGTTATTATCCATCTTTTTTGTTATAGCCATCCTAGTGTCTGACCCCACCCCACTATACCTTCTTTGGGCATCCCCAGGAGGTAGCACATCTCCCAGAGTTTTCCCTGTTCTGGGAAAACCAAATGAGAAGTGACCTAGACAGGTTTGTAACAGGGCACAGCGCTTTACAGTTGTCCAGCTGCTTTCAGGCTTCCTGGGCCCTCTCCACAGAGTAGGGAGGGCACGGGGCCCAGGTTCTCACAGCGAGTCTGGCCTCTCCAGGACTGATGCTCAGGATAGCCCCTGCCCCTCACCTGGCTAACCTGAGGGTGCCCAGAGGGCAGGCGACCTCAGCCTCCACCTGGCCCAGCCCCCACCCCGGGCAGGGAAACTGAGGATAGAGAGGGCACAGGAAGTGAAGGCAGCACCATCTGCTCCCTTGGAGGGCCCGGGCCAGCCATCCTAACAGTGGCGCCACAGTGGACACCAGCAGGGGCTCAGTGGACGTCCAGCAGGCAGGAAAGAGGGATTCCACCTGGGACCCACGAGTGCTGTCCCTTTAGAGCCAGAGGCAGGGGATACGCAGATGTGGAAGGCCGGGTCCCATGGCCCCATGTGGGCCCCAGGCATGTTCTACCCCCACTGGGGTTACATGGCCCTAAGGACCAAGGATTAGGTGGTGGATGGGGCAGCAGCAACAGCACTGCTGAGTCCTTCCTGCATGGAGGCCACAAGCACACAATGGGGGCATGCTGTCCTCTGGGAGGCTCCAGCACAGAGAGGGTAGCAGTGGGAGTGGGCCGGCCCCCAAGCATCTCAGTCCTCCTGCCAGGCCCATCCAACCTGCCTGCCCAGCAGCCTCAGGACTCCGCTCTGGAGAATCAGAGGTGGCCAGCTGCAGGGTCCTTAGAGAAACTGAGACCCACAGAGGGGCAAGGCTTGCCCAGGGCCCCACAACAAGCCTTATGCCCCCCGGCTAGTGGGGCCAGTCCACTGCCTGAACACAGAGCCCCGTGCCATGCGATGGCCCGTGCGAGGCCTGTTCCACAGTCACTGGGCTGGCCCTGCATCCCTTCATCTTGTGCCAGGAGGAACTACTTATGGATTCCAGCATCTGTTTATTCTTGCAGAAGCATTTTTGAAATATTGAGATAACCAAAGTCCACACAAGCCATGCTTGCATTTCCAAAATCATACTGCAGGCATTTGGACTCTGCCCAAGAAGAAAATGCCAGCAGCCCAGAGGCCAGCCCCCATCGGTGCAGGGAAAGATTCGGGGGACAGGCAGGCCCTGGCTTGGGGTTTTGAGGAGAGAGGCAGGACCCTGGGTGGTCTTGGGACATCTTCCTGGGAGTGGGGAATGACACAGACATGGGAAGACAGTGGTTCCCTTGATTCCAAGAGAAAGAGGGAATAAGTATGCCCAAGCTGCCCCTGGGTGGCTGTGGATTTCGAGAGGTGGGGAAGAAGTCAGGATTCACACCCCGAATTCACTCCACCCTAATGGCCTCAGCTCTCTTTCCCCTTTAAAAATGGAAAAAAGCCTTGATCTGCAAAGTCAGCCCTCCCCTGCAGGGGATCCTCATGCCCCCTGGCGGAGGGCCGATGCTGGGCTTGCCCTCAGCCCTGGAGGAGGGCCAGCAGGGAGGGTGGCCAGCCCCGTGACGCAGCCCTTCTGCTGTGCACATGGCTAGACTTGGTCTAAAACAGTGAAGTGCTTCCATCCAGCTGGGAAATTGTTACTGCTGGGTCAGCCCAAAGGAGTTAAAGCTGCACGGGGACTGCTCAGGGCCTGAGCGGGGCATGGCATCAGAACCCCACAAGGCCTTCCATAACAAGTGTGGAAAACTCTTAGGTACCGTGTATCTCCCTCTCCCCCACCCCCCACTTGGCCGCTCTGCTGAGCTTCTGGAGAATTCTCAGGACAGCCATAAGTGTCCAGGTATCTTTCACTACAGGCCCCTCTGTTAGTCTCCCTGTGCCTGGAACGCACTGAGCTCCTAGCAGCCTCAGGGCCTTTGCACTACTGTGCCCCCCCCACAGGCAGGCCCTTCCTGGTGACTTTACGGGACGGCTCCCACCCAGCAGCGCAATCCCCATTCCAGGCTCACCTCCCCGGGAGGCCTCCTCTGACCACAGGCTCTATGCCATCGCCTTTCTCATCACCAGCTGTGTTTTGTTCATTTGTTTACTTGTTTACCATTCCCCTACACACACCCTGAGAGCAAACTCTGAGAGCAGGGACTGTGTCTCTGAGAACTTGGCACATAGTAATGTTCATTAACTTTTAAAAAATGAATAAGTGAATAGTCTAGGAATGCAAATTATTAGCCAATTGTTGAAGAACCCACCAGTGAGGAGCTGCAGGAGGGATGCAGATCCAGGGCCCTGTGTGCCTCCTTCCTCCACACCCTCACCTGAAGCAGACATCACCAATCTAACACAGAATGTTTGATTCCATGGAGCCCAGACGTGAGCTCCAATCTTTACAGCAAGGCCCTCCAGGGAGCCACTTACTCTTCTTGAGAGGTGGTGGGAGGAAGACTAGGGTGTAAAGTGCATGTCTTGAGTGGGCTGGCAGTCCAAGGGCAAGGCCCTTGAGGATGCTCCAAGAGTCAGGAAGGCTTCCTGGAAGAGGTGACAGGGTGGGCCTGAAAGGCATTGTGGGCAGAGGGGGAAGGAGAAGGACAGTTTGGAGGGTGGGTAATAATATAAGCCTTGGAGGTAAGAATCCAGTGGACACGTCCCCAAGACAATAAAAACCAGCTTGTTTGAAGAGGAAGGTGCCTGTCAGGCTGGCTCAGAGGGCCCACTTGCCTGCCCCCAGCCAGCTCCTGCAGCATGTCCCTGCCTCGCACCAAGCAGAGCCTTTTGGTCTGCCATCTGGGGAGAGAAGCTAGCAGGATGTAAGGAGAGGAGGAGAATTGGTGAGCACTGCTGAGACCATACGCCAGAACACATTCCCAGTGGGTGCCCGGGGGTAGGGGACTCTTCCAGGTTCCTTATGACAAAGAGTGACTGGAGGTGTCTGGAGGGTGCTGCACCCATGCAGTTGTGCCGCTGCATGGTGATGCGCCATGCAGCTGATGCAGCCTTTCCTGACGCCCAACCAGTAGGGTCCCCAGACTTCTCTGACTGTCCATGCCACCCCAACTGCCCTGGGTACCCTCCCAGCCTTGGTTGCACCCAGCTGGCGGGAGCAAGTCTCCCTTCTCCAGGAGCCTGTGAAGGACCTTGAGGGTGAGTTCCCTGGTGGGCTTGCTGGTCTAGCACTGCCTCCCGCCAGGCATCCTCAAGAGGAGCACTGGAGCCTCAAGTCCTAGTTTTAGAAAAAGAACATGCATTGTGTAATGCTGATGACAGAGCCATTTATGCTCATTGGAGAAAATCTGGGAAACGCTCGACAAGGATAAATGAAGAGAAGAGGTCAGCAGGGCACAGACACTGATTAACCTTTCATTGTGTGTGTGCTTGTCTCTTGTATAGGCACACGCGCAAGCACGTGCACATGGATGCACAGGCACGTGCATGTTCGCACACAATGCATGCACACATGTACGTGCACACATGCATGCTTGCACAGTACACATGCCACTTGTGCGCTAAGCACACACATGTGCAAATACATGCACACAGAGACACATTCATGTGTACATGCACAAGGGCACACATGTACACACCTACACACACATGGGTGCACTGTGCTTTAAACCAGGCCTGCTGCCAAGGAGGGGCTGCTCTCCTGTGGGAACCCATCTCTGTCATCCATTCCTCTCCTTTTTCTACCACTGACCTTGGCCTTCCCCCAACACACGTGCTAATACTCTGTGTTATGTTTAACATTGTTTTTGCAAATTTCACAGGTGAACATTGATGACTCGGGGCTTTTTGTTGCCATGAAGCAGTTTGCTCCTTCTTGATGGATCTTTCCTGCTTCTTCATGTGTGTGTGCCTCCTCCTCTTCCGGGGTTCTGAGCTGGAGGCTCTGCAGGGTGTGCAAGGACATTCACACTTTGTCCTTGTCCCACTTTGTGTTCTCAAGGCAGTCCTCCGCTCAGGTGATGGGGCGGGTGTTGAGAGTTTTGTGTGGGGAAGGGTCTTCCTCCGTCTTTCCTTTTATGTCTCCTGCCTTTGCTGCCCCAGCGGACACTTTCCTCAGGCTCTTTATGGGAGCCTGGTTACATCATAACCTACTTCATGGGGGGGAAGTCACCTGCCCCGGCCCCTGCCTGCCTGGGCGGCCCAGCACCCTCCTCCCTGTCCTCCCACCTCCAGCTCCATCCTCCAGCCCCCGCGGCTGCCCTGAGCCTCACTGGGTCCCGCTGCCCTGTGCCCCTGCCCTGTGCCCCGGCTGTCCTTTCTTTGAGTGGCTCCTCACTGTCCCCTCTGTGTGTTTGCACTGGCTGACTCTCTGTCCTGTGACCCCATGTGGACCCTTAGCTGCAATCTGAGTTCTGATGCGGTCTCCCGGAGCATCCACTCCCCACGCTCGCTGGGAGGCAGGATCCCTGAGGACAGGGCCTTTTTAGCAAGTTCTGGGGAGGTTTGGTCAGGTGTGAGAGCCCCCGTCTGGAGAGCACCTCCCAGCCCAGCGTTCCGGCCTTTCCTCCCACTCCTGTGTCTGTGACAGCTCCATGGTGCAGCTGAGTCCTGGATGGGAGGGTGGCCATGGACCCCTGGCCTGCAGAGCCAGCACAGAGCGGGCCCAGGACGTGACTTCAGGAAGAGCTTCAGGAGACACCTGTGTCCTCTTGGCCTCTAGGAGGTGGAAGCGGATGGACGGATTCACGGAAGCCTCATGTGAACAGACATTACGAAGCCTCTGTGGCACCTACCCCATCTCCCAAAGGAGCACGTTTGTGCACATGGAGAGTCTGATTCTCAGATGATTGAGGAGAGATGCACATTTACCGTTCTGGCCGGTGGCTCTGTTCCAGGAGCACCTGGAAGCAAGGCTGCCTCCACCCCGGCTTCCTGCCTGGCAGGGGCCTCTTCCAGGGTGGCCCTGCCCCAGAGGCTGCACTTGTGTGGGGCAAACACGTGGGCAGGGCCAGTGCCACAGAACCACAGCTGGACCAGGATGGGCAGCAGACAAAGCAGATGGCCAGCCAACACAAGGGGCATTAGAAGGGCCTTCCTCAGCCACTGCAGGGTGTCCTGGAGCGCTTGGGAGAAAGCAGCCCTGTGGTCAAACACCTCTGAGAAATGCTCTGTCCAGTGCTCCCTACAGAATGCAGCTGCCACATGCGCAGGTTCCAGGCTGGTGGGCGGCTGGACTGAGAGCCAGCACGCTTTCTGCGAGCCAGTATGCCCTGCTGGGGCAAGGGGTGCTTTTTTCTAATTCTCACGAAGGCGCTGTAAGGACTAGAAGCATTTCCAGTGCTGCTCGGATCTACATGACGCCGAGAAGCCCTGGGTGGAGAGCCCAGTGCTTACCCACGTTGATCCCAGAACCCAGCTCTCCTGCAGCCCTGGGGACCAGAGTGCCCTTGGGGAGTGCTGGCCGCAGGTCACAAGATTCCCAGGAGGCAGGCCAGCCCCTTGTTTGCACCACCTTGCTTTGCGGCCTCGTGTGGGCCCGAACTCTGCTCTGGGCCCAGTCTCCTCACCTGTGAGATGTGTGGAGATTGTGCTCAAACTGCATTGGTTTATGGGTTGGTGCAAACCCAGACAGCAGCTCCACCCTGGGGCACACTGCTCGGTGCTCCTTGTCAGGGTGACCGACGGGGATGGGGCAGGTGTGAAAGAGAGTAGGCTGGAGGCACCTGGGGAGTGACACCCTGGGATGAAGTGGAAGCACAGTGGTCTGGGGCATCTGCACTCACCCTTCCTCTGGCCTTCAGATGTTGACGGCCAGCTTCCCAGCTCCTGGATGGCTGTGCACCTGGGAACAAGGGCCTCAGGGCCTCAGTCTCCCTCCCTGTACAATGGAGAAAGGGGAGGTGCTAATCCAGGTGGTCCCTCTCTCTACCCTCGCAGCTCCTGCCATGTTGTCCCTGATTCGGTTCACCAGACACCCCGCCTCTCTCCCAGCAGCCGGGACAATTGTGTGCCTACACATCCTGCATACTTTCCTCAGCCCTTGCCACCCTCCTGGGGACACCTTACAGCCTCCTCTGCCTGCATGAGAACCAGCATCCACCCAAATCGTATTTGGTTGTCAACATCATTTTGTGAGAAAGAACGTCATGAGTCCTATTTTTGAGTGAGGGACTGAGGCTCACAGAAGCTGTGACCTGGCCAAAGGCCGTCTGCTATGACATCACAGTCCAGGCAGCTGGCCATGAGTCCCAGGCACTTCCTACTTCACCACCAAACTCTCCTGGAGAGGAGAGGCCAGAGGACTGCTCAGCCCAAGGTCATGGGCCTTCAGAGGGCCCAGCCTCAGGATCTCTGTGCCCCAAGTCCTGGGACTCTGCAGGACTCAGAATTCTCACCTCAGACCTGACCTCCATGTGACACCCCAAGGTCAGCTTCCCTGAGGCAGAGCTTCCAAACCTGGAGGCTATATCCCCTTCACAAAGGGAATGTTCTCTCAGGACGACCAGCGCTGATTATGGAACCAGGCCCCTCAATGTCAGGGCGGCTTTTCAGCAGGGCCACACATCTGTGTCAAAGGAACGGGAACTTTTAGGGTGCAGCCGGCAGGTGGGGCCTCGCTGCTCCAGTCTGGCGGGCATCTGACTTTGGTGAGCAGCCAGCTTCCTCTGCAGCTTCTGCTGCTGGCACTCGCTGAGAGGCATGTCTGGGCTTCCTTCAGGGGTTCCTCTCCCCACCTTTCCCCAGGAGTGTCCGCTGCTCTCAGAAGATAAATGCTGGTGGCTGGTCACACACAAAGAGGAGGAGGCAACCTCACACCAGAAGCTGGCCCGGGCCAGGGAGTGTCATCCAAAGGGAAGCCTTGCTTCTGAGAAATGTATTTATTTCTTTGTGAGCAGGAGCCTGAGTGTGGCCTCTCTGGGGCCTTTGGGTGGGGCCATGCAAAGGGCTGGCGTGTGGCCTCAGAAGCCCTGGTGGTACCTGTTCACAGACCACCCTTGATCGGAGTCCTGGTCCCCAGTGAGCTGGCCCACCCATCCGTGGGTACCAGGGCATCAGCCCCCGGGCCCCTGCAGGCCACCCTGCAGGTTGCTCCACCTCTTCCTGGTGGTCTCCTCTGCTTCACGCTCTGCCCACCTCTGCCAGCCAGGACTGATGGGGACTCAGTGTAAAGGGGCAGCAGGACCCTGGGAGCATGCCCAGAGAGGAGCACTGCTAGGAACTGACCTCTGTCCCTTCCCTGGTGGGACGGGACCCAGAGGTGCTCTCACCCAGGCCTGCCTCTTTCTCTTCCTCCCTCCACAGCCTGTGTTCCACTGAAGGCCTCATCTGGCTGGAGGAAGGCCCCTCCTCCCTCGCCGCTGCATTTTCTTCCTCTCGGGTGGCAGAAGCCAGGCCACAAGCACGGAGGGAGGGATTGTTCTCCTGACACGCCCCCAGCTCCCTTTCCAAAGGGCATGTTCTCTGATAGTCCAGCACCTCCTGGCACCCTTTGTGGGAGCAGGGTCCCCGTTCTGAGCACCAGGATTTCTATGTCCTCCCAGCCTTGCCCACCAGGGCCACCCAGGCCCTTCCCCAGCCCCCAGGACCCTCTGGGTCTGGCCAGGCCCCCTGGGGAATTGTGCCATCTGGATGCAGACGCAGGACATCTGTAGAGTAGACAGAGAGGGTGAGTGGGAACCTGGCTGAGTGAAGGGTGGGTGTTTAGGGGCCTCTGGTCCGCGGGGGTGTTTCAGTGGTCAAGGGCTCTACAGGCCCTTCCAGGTAAGCATCCTGTTTTCCCAAGGTGGGTTCTGAGGCACAGAGGTGAAGTGGCGCCTGGCGACCCAGCACCGTGCCCGAGGAAGCCCTGTCTATGACCTGGGAGTGTGGGCTGCGTCCAGCCTGGAGGGAGGGCTGCTCCTTGCCAGGCCCTGCCACGTGTGTCTTTGGGGAAGGGCTGAATTCTCTGCCCAGCTCAGTAGGACATGGTGCTCTGTGCTGTGAGCTCCTGCAATCTGGCGGCTCACAGGCACACCTCTCTCTCATTAGCCCCATCGCTTTGCCTGCCCCTGCTGTTGGGGCCTCACCTAGCCCACCCTGCCCCTCAGTCCTCCAGCCACGCACTAGTCCCTGTGCATGGCAGGGTGGGGTGGGCATGGAGAGGGCTGGGCCAAGGGGAAGGGAGCCGTGCTGCGGGTACTGTGACAACACTGTGGTCAGCTAAGGTCCCTTCTCCACCTGCTTGGCTCCCAGTCTGTTGACAGGAGAGTGGTGACAGGGCCTGGGTGCAGGCAGCGGTACCGTCCTGAGCAGCCTGTCCAGTTAGTTACAGTTAGTTACACGCCCAGTTGTATGTGTGTGACTAATTACACATGGGGCAGGCGGCTGTCCGCTGATCTGTGATGGGTCAGCACAAAGGGGAGGGCCACAGTCAAAGGCAAGCGGTGGCTGTGGGGAGGGGCCCATTGAGGTTTCTGACCCACTGGGGCCTATATATTTAGGCAGAGCAGTAACCTCTGTGCTATGAGGGACCATCAGGAGGGTCAGCTGTCCCCTCCCCTTTTGCCCCTTCCACCTGTTGCTCTGGTGGTGCCTAAAACCAGTAGTGATTCGTTTGCTTAGAATATTATCCTCCAAAAGAGAGTATTCATGGGACAGTGGTAGGGAAATGCAGAGGCCTGGATGAGTCCCCCAGTGGATATCAAGTCGTGCCCAACTGGTCCAGGTCCCTTGGGGACAGTGTCAGCAGCTGAGAGAATCAGCTCCCTGCCCCTCCCGGGTGTCGGGCACACCGGCCATGAAACTCATGGTGTGATTGGGTGTGAGCGCCACAGGGTGACCAGTGACCCCTCCAAGAGTGCTGACCGGCACTCAGGCCACACAGTGTCCCATGGGTTCTTGTTAAGCGTTCTTAGCAAGGGCCTCCAGTAGACCGTCGCTGAGAGCATGTGGCCGGGCCGTCTCCCAGGGCAGCAGATAGCCTCTGGACAGCTCAAGCCCTCGGAACTAAACACTGGAGGCATTTCTAGAGCTCACCAAGCACTTGATTCATTTTGCTTTGTGTTTGGCCAGCCACCCTGTGAGTTGAATGTCGTGAACCCTACTTCCTACTCGGGAAATAACTCAGAGAGGTGCACGCCTCACCCATCACACTCGGGTGGGAGCCAAAGCTCTGCCTGCATGGCTGCCCTGGTGATGGTGCAGCTGGTGGGGGGCGGGGTGGCCTCAACTGGGCAGTGTGGAGCGAGAGTCAGTGCAGGAAGCAGAGCCCAACTGTCATCTGCTCCGTCACTCTCGGTGCCCACTCCTGTGTGGTCCCACGGGTGCCATACAGACTTTCACCTGTGCCTGCTGGCAGCCTGGCCTCCCCCACCCAGGAACCCTAGCTTCTGAGGTCTTGGCCTCTGCAGGATCTTTGTCGTGATCCTTGTCAACAACCCCTGTGGGGCACTTGGTTTCTGTGTCCTGTTCTGCAAGGTCAGTCACCCCACCTTAGGCCACCTCCCATCTTCCAAAACCAAAACCTTGCAGGCTGTACCTTTTTAAAGGAGGGAGCAGGCGTTTTCACCAGAGGGGCCTTTGGTCTTGGGGGAATGAGGAGAGGGAGGCCGAGACCCCCAGTGTCCCTAGAAAGCTCCTTCCCCCAAGCCAGCTTCTCTGAGGTGTGGCCCACAGTGGACTTGGAAGGGCCCTGGGGCTCGGACAGCTTTGCCCGCTTTGCCTAGGATGTTGTTTCTTATTTTTTTCTTTCTCAATTTTTTTTTTAACATAAATTGTTTTGAAGTGTAATGTACATACAGAAAAGTGCATGAGTCCTAAGTGTTGCAGCTCAGTGAGTTTTCATGGGGTGAATACATGGGTCTCGGGCACCCCGCCCCTGCAGCGGCCCCTGCAGAGCTGGTTGTGCATGGGATCCTGAGTAGATGTTCTTTTGTGCCTGGTTTCTTTTTGCTCCACGTGATGGTGGTGAGACTGGTCCTTGTGGGTGGTCATCTGCACCCATTTCCATTGCCTTGGGGTGCCCCCCTGAGTGAATACACCACAGCTTGCTGTGGAGGGCGACTGAGGGGCTTCTGTTTGGAGCCATAGTGAGTAGTGCTGCTGTAAACACTCCTGGGTGTGTCTTTTGGTGTGAGTATGTAAGCATTTCTGGCACCCAGGGAGGAATTTCTAGGCCTGCATATGCTCGGCTTTCATAGGGACTATCTTCCCACGTGGCTTTACGGGTTCACACTCCCACCACCAGCCGCTAGGAGTTTCCATTGCGCCACGTCTTGCCAGCACGTGGCATTTTCTGCCTTTTCATTTTAGCCATTCCGGTGGGTGTACGGCAGTGTCACACTGTGGTTTAATTTCCCTTCCCCGATGACTAATGAAACTCAATGCTTTTTTGTATGTTTATCACCTTTTCGGATATCCTTTTTTGTGAAGTACCTCTTCATGTCTTTTGTCCATTTTTAAAAAAATTGAGTCTTCTGACTTTTTAAAATCTGTATGAGTTCTTTATATATTAATTTGTTTGAGTCCTGTGCTGGATATACACATCTGTCTCTCTATCTGCTCATGTGTACAGAGACACACAGACACACACACACACTTATTCAATCGGTGTTGAGAGCCCCCATGTGCCAACATGTCACAGTCACTGCGGCACAGCCGTGAACAGAACAAAGGCCCTGTCCTCATGGGGCTTGGATCCTCCCCAGAGAAGACCAATAAATAAGGAAGTAGAAAGACTGTCAGACTGCGGTAACTGTGCAGAGAAATGTTCAGTGGGAGAGGAAGTGCGGGAGCGGAGGGTAACACTGTAAATATGTCACGGAGAAGGTGACATGTCAGTAAAGATTTAAGGGGGAGAGCCACTAGATGCCTGGGGAGCATGGCACGCAGAAGGAGGGCGGCAGGGTCTGCTAGGGGGCTGGCGCAGAGCAAACGAGGGGTGAGTGGGGTGGGAGGTTTCAAATGGGGTCAGGTCAGCAGAGCCTGGGGGGCCACTAGAATCTGGCTTTCATTCCACTGGGGGTTCTGGACAAAGGAGGGACAGGACCTGACTCCGGTTTTAATAGGGCCCCTTGGGCTGCCATGCTGAGGCAGAAATGGTGGAAGCAGGGAGACTAATTAGGAGCCTGTGGCAGTAGGTCCAGCCTCTTGTCCCAGTTTCCCATCTGTCCCAGGTGTCTGCACTCTGAGGACGTCCAGAATCACTGTCGTCCCAGAATCAGGCATCCCTGCTCTTTGCTCTGCCATCTTCCGAGCGTCCTCTAATGGCTGTGGGATAGATGCAGTGTTCCTGGCCTCACATCCAGCCCCCATCATCTGGGGTGTCTCTTCCTATGTGCCTTGTCTTTCCAGAAGGTCCCAGCGGATGTCCACTGGCCACACCACACCTGGCTTGTTCTCCACTTCCCTAAAGCTGACTCTGGCAAGGTAATGGGGTTCCTCTGTCAGTCTCCACAAGCCCTCCCTGCAGGACCTTGCTCCCTGTACCCAATCCCACCCCCAGCTTCAAGCAGGGGGACACCTGGCAGGAGTCAGCCCTGGCATGCCCATCTCCCCGCCTCCTTGGCACCAGGAAGCACATAGAGGTAGTCATAAGTCAGCTGCAGAGGCCACTGTGAGCTTTGCATCCTCCAGCTAGCCTGAGATGAGACGCAGAAGCAGCAGGGGGAGGACAGTGTGAAAGCTTGGGGGGCTGATGTGCTGGCAGCTGGCAGTCCTGGCTATTTCTGCCTGGTGCTCCCTCCCCCACCACTGCCCACCCACGGGAGCAACAAGGCCCGTAGTCAATAGTGCAGGTGCTACAGCCGTCAGAGCTGGGTTTCAGTCCAGTGGAGAAAGTGGGAGTTGGGGTGGGCAGAGCTCCGAGACAAGGACACCTGTCTCCAAACTCCTGCATCCTCTTGGGGGAGGCCAGTGAAGGGACTCAGCACAGCCCCTAATTCCTCAAGACAGAAATAACTGTCCACCAAGACAGCCTGGTGGCCCATCTTGCTGCTGGTAACAGAGCAGGCAAATGAGAAGGGGTACCTGGGAGGAGAGAGGGTTGTCTCACAAGGCTGCTGGGCAGCAGGCGGGGTGTGTGTGGGGGGGCAGCATCCTGGGACACTGACAGGGTCACCTCTGCCCATCCAGGCCCTGGGGCTTGCTCATGAGCTCTCCTGGGCTGGTCTCAGCTTCTCTCTGGGCATCCCCTCCCTTTAACGTGCAAGCTGAGCATGTCGCTTGGTCCTCTCTAGTGGTGACTCCCCCAGAATCCTCCCCAGCTCCCTCTTCCAACTCAGCCTCTGGGCCCTCCAATACCAGCTCTCCCAGAGTGAGTGTTCTGCCGTCAGTCCATCTTTTCCATCCGAATTCTCAGAGCCTGGGTGGCGGGCCACTGCAGGAACACGGCGGAAGGGGAGACCCGTCACCTGACAGGATTCCTTCTGAGTGCTGGGGCTCCTGTGCCACATGCCAGGCCCGCCCCACGCCGTATCTCAGATGAGCCCTCTCACAAAATCGGCTGCCATGTCCCTCGTGTTCACTCAAGGAAGTGGAAGGACAGAGAGTTCTGAGTGACGTTCGAGGCCAGAGCTATATGTAGTAAGTGTTCCGTCAAGGGAAGCATTCAAACCAAACGCGGGCTAAGCGCCTGCCCGTAGCTCTGCAGTGGACATCGACAAAGAGGTGAGGGCGGGGAGGGGAAGAGAGGATCGAGGGAGGAGGTGGGGCGCAGGGGGCTCTCTGTGAGCGGGATCTCACCAGCACAACCGCTCCCATCGCGCGCTGAGCCCTGACCCACACAGCGCCCCTACTCCTAATGGCACAGCCCGCCCGGCGCACGCAGCACAGACACCTTGGCCCCCCGCACTCCCGGCACCCCCAAACCCGGAGCCAGGCCGGTGCGCCCGGCCCAGGCGGCGCCCCTCGCCACGCCCGAACCCCAGGATCTTCGCCGCCGCCCTCCAAGCGGCGCCCGGCCCCTCCTGTCCCTTCCCTCCCCAGCCCTGCTGCGCCGCGACCCCCGCGCCCCCCTCGGCCCGGCCCGGCCCGGCCCTGGCCCGACCTCGCTGTTCGTCGGCCCCGCGGCTCAGGCGCACCCAGCCCCGCCCTGTGCTCCGGGCCCCGCCCCGGCCCCGCCCCGCCGGAGGCTGCGAGCGGGAGGGAGGCGGGCGTGGGGAAGTCCGCGGGCGGGGTCGGGGGGCGGGGGCTTCCTCGCGCCGGCAGAGGAGCTGCCGCACGAGGCACGCCGGCTTTGCCGGGGGACAGCGCGGGGACCTGGCAGCCAGGATGTTTCTGGAGCCTCAGGTAGGGCTGCGGCTCGTGGCAGGTGCGGGGCGGCGGGTCGCGGAGGCAGCGACGTGGGCGCGCTCGCAGGGCAGCCCGGTGGTTGCGGCAGCACCGCGGAGCTGGGGGTTCCTCCGCCGCCGAGCTCAGGAAGGGGTGCTGCCCTCCCGGCGAGGAATGCGACCATCTGGAACATCTATGGCCGTGGCCGGAGGCAGCCTGTCCTTGGGAAGCACTCCCTCTACGTGTCCCCATTGGGGCACCTGTTGCCAGGTGGGCGGCGCCCGGAGCTCAGAACGGGTGGGCTGCTCAGGCTGCCACTGCCCTTTCTGGCATGGCCTGCAGTCGCCGGTGATTGTCTATGGCTGAGCGGCACCTGCAAAGCTGATAGGGACCCCTGTGGGGTGAACAGGCCCTGGGAGGCAGGAGACAGCGACCCCAGCAGCGCGCCGACGGTAAAGTGGCCGCTCCGGGACGGGCTTGTAAGAGCCAGGATGACCCTGGATCCTTCCCCAGACTCGAGGATTCCAGAACCACTGTGTACCCTGGAGGAGGTGCCAAGGAGAGGAGGAGGTGTGCGATGCAGTGAACATGTGGGAGGTGTGTATGTGTGTATGTGCGATGTGTGGGCACGAGTGAGAGTAGGTGAAGATGCGGGCACGTTTATATACGGGTGTGTGAGAGCGGCAGAAGTGTGTGGGGCAGGATTGTGCCTGCTTGGGCCCACAAGGAGAGTGAGCTCCGAGTGGGGCTTCGGGGAGTGTGGACTCTAAGGTGAGGGGTAGCTTCCTTTCTACAGGAAAGGAGGCTGGGAACCTGTCCAGGAGTTAATCCTGAGCATGAGGCAGTGTCGCATTCCCATGGCTGTTTGTTCCACGGGTGTCTTCGAGGGGGACCTCCCGTTGTGGCTCAGGTGCAGTATGGTTGAGCTGCAGCCTGCTGCTGCTGTTCCCCACCCCCTTCTCATGGAACTGACCACCAGCCCGGCACAGCCCTGGACCTCAGGCCCAGGGCACATGGGGGTGCAGAAGGGGCCTCAGCTGGGCTGGCCAGCCCTGGCTGTGCCAAAGAAGCAGGTCTTATTTGTTCTTTTGTTTGTTCACATGTTCAGCACACATTTATTGAGCACCTGCTGTGTGCAGGCACTGTGGATTCGGCAGAGACCCAAATACACCACTTATATTAGTATAGCACATGTCATGGAGCTCACCTTCTAGCTAGGGAGACAGGAGAAAAAGCCTGATCAGTAAATAAAATGTAGACTGTCGCGTGGTGATAAGTGCTAAAGAGCAAAACTGCAGCAGGGAAGAGGAATAGAGCATATCCTGGTGCACAGTCAGGAGAGTTTAGGTTATCTGCAGTAACAAAACAGGCCCCCGGTCTGGTGGCTTCCAACAGCACAGTGGAATTTTTGCTCACGTGCGTGACCATCGTGGGTTGGCATGCCTTCCTCACTCAAGATGCTGGGCTGATGGGTCCGCATGGCAGGGGGAGAGAGGCTCCTGCACTAGCATTTTAATGCCCCAGCTCAGTGCCACATGTCACTTCTACTCACTGCTCTTGAGCCAGATGAGTCACATGACCCCACCCAACCACACTACGACCTGTGGTGACAATCCTGCTCAGCCTGGCAAGAAGGGGCTGACACCTTTGGTGCTGAACATACTGACCACCAGTGTGTGGGTGCTGTTTGTACTTTGGGTACAGTGGTCAGGGGAGGCCTCACCATGTGTTACATGTCCATGAGGACTTGTTGGAGGCTAGCAAGGGAGATAAGTGACAGTGGGAGCAGAGGGACACGTAAGGAAAAGGCCAGGCAGGGCTTTGAAGAGGAAGCTGCCTGTGTGTCAAGGGCTAGACTGGAGGCCGGGTGTCACGAGCAGAGCAGGTAAGAGGTCAGTGGGGCCCACGCAGTGGCCCAGGGCCTCAGACCCGGGAGGTAGCAGTGGAGAAGGAAAGAAGGGCTGATTTGGACATGCTCTAAAGGTAAAGCAAGAGGCCTTGCTGGTGGCAGGGATGTGGTGCTGGAGATGGAGAGGAGGTAGGCTCATTCCAGGAAGGAGGGCGTTGTGCTCAGTGGAGGCAGGAGAGGATGCAGGTGGAGCAGGTGGGACAGGCAGGAAGCAGGGACAGTTTGACAGCTCCAGGGGGATGCCACCTGGCAGTGGGATGGGCGCTCTGGAGTTCAGGCTGGCCTGGAGTACTCTGTCCTGCAGGTCCCTTGCTACCTCCTGGCCACGCTACCTACACCCGCCCCTGCTGGCTCAGGACAGCCTGGCCCTGGGCCCAGCCTACCTCCAGCACTGTACCTCCATCTTGCTGAGCCTGCCTGCTTGATGTAGGGGGCCTTCGTGTGAGCTCCACCAGAGGAGGGAGGGCAAGTTGAGGGGGCTACGGCATCTTGTGTTGACCTGGCTGCCGTGTGCACTGGGGGCTGGCCAGGGTGCAGGAGCACTGGGGACAGCACTGCCTGCAGATGCACAGGGCCCACAGTGATGTGGAGTCTTTGAGGGCTGGGCAGTCTGGGAGGGCCACCTGGGGGAGAGAGTCATACGTTGGCTTTGCGATGGGTAGAGTTAGACTCAGGGGCAACATGGCCCAAGATGGAGCTGGGGTGTGTGGAAGTGGCCTGCACCCTCCACATCTGGGCTCCAGGGGAGCTGCTGGTGAGTGAGCAGAGCAGGGTCGGATCTGTTGGGACTTGGATATCAGCCAGGAGACCTGTTATCTCTCCATGCTCCTTCTTTCTTACCCCACTGGAAAACCCCTGGTCATCCTTGGAAGCCCATCTCGAAATCACCTCCTTCAGGAAGCCCTCCCTGACTTCTCCCTACAGAGTTAGTTCCCCCACCCTCCTGCCTCCTCGGCACCCATCGCATACCCATAATCCCGAGTTGCTCACACTGCACTGTGGTGTTACATCTGCCTCCCCTGGCAGGCACCAAGGTCCACGGGTTCTTCCATTTCCAAGTGTATGGCCCAGGTCAGTAGGGCCTCATTGATGTTTGTTGACAGAATCAGTGAGGAAGGAAGGAAGGAATAAACACAAAGGCTGGAAATGGCCTATGGAGACTGCCCAGTTTTGCCTCCCTGTTTACACATGGGGAAATTGAGGTCCACAGTGGTCGCGGCTTCCCTGAGTTCAGCCAGGAGGTCAGAGA